CGTCCAGACAAACGGTGAGTCCATCAAATCGTACTTCAGCATGTTCAACAAGGAAATGATCGGTATCTAAGAATATGACGTCCGAACAGCCATGAAAGCCTTCAAGAGAGGATTGTCGCTAGATATGGAGCTATACAAAGAGCTAACCAAGTACCCTTGCACGACCTTTGAAGAAGTCAGGACTCGCGCCCTAGCCTAGATGCGACTAGAAGACGACATCGCTATTAGAAAAGGCATCAAGCCCGCAACTGCCGCTAGCAACAAAAGGATCGATAGAGGGTCCAATGACAAGAAGAACTGGCGTCGTAAACCCTATGACAGGCCATCTAACAATGCACAAAGCTTTGTTGACGGGTCCCAAAAGTAAGATGCCGACGCATACCCCGATATTGCTAAATACGGATTTTGCATCGACATCGAGGGCGTGGTGAATGCCCTGCATTCCTTGGGTGTCGTCACCCGTTGGCCTAGGAAGAGCGACAGGCTAGATGAAAGTAAAGAAGAATCCAAGTGGTGCGACTACCATAGTAATCATGGCCATCGTACTGAAGATTGCAACGCCTTAAGGAAAGAAATATCCTTCCTCTTGAAGAAAAGTCATCTAAAGGAGCTAATGGGAAAAGGCAAGTCAAGCGACAAAGAGACGTCGTCCCAGCAGCCTCCTAAGGCCCCGACAATCACTAAGGTAGTCAATGTTATCTCTGGTGGATCCGATATTTGTGGACTAACGTACTCTACAGCAAAGAAAATAGCAAAAACAGGTACCCCCGAGGAAGCTGTTCCAAAAGATGCAAGATCAAATTAAGACAAAGCTCTGGAAGCAATAGTGATCTCCTTCGACGATTGCGACTTGGGAGACTACCGTGAAGAGCATCATGATTCATTAGTGATATCCCTTACCATTGGCAATTGCTTGCTGAGAAGAGTGTTAGTTGACGGAGGAAGCTCAGCCAATGTTCTCTTCAAAAGTACCTTAGAAGACATGGGAATTGACACCATATACGTCGTTAGAAAGTCAATTGTTCTTGTAGGTTTCAGCGGAGAAGCCCTCAATACAAGTGGAGAGATCGTGCTGCCTACATATGCTCAAGGCGTCAACCTGTCAACGAACTTCAATGTCGTTGATTGTCCGTCGGCCTACAATGCCATCATCGGTCGACCTTGGATCCATAGGATGAAAGTCGTCCCCTCGACATACCATCAGACAATCAAATTTCCAACTAAGTGGGGCGTGCAAGAAATCAAAGGAGAAAGGCAAGAAGCTAGAAAATGCTATAGTTCTACCTTGAAGCCATCCAAGAGGACGGTATAACAATTACAGCAGGGACCAGCGTCAGAGGAGCCCGACGAACAAGCAATAGACGAAGTGGAGCTAGATCCCAACAAACCAGAGCAGACCGTCCGAATTGGGGCGTTCACTCGACCCAGGTATAAGGTTTGAACTTATCAAATTTCTTAAATCTAACGCAGATTGCTTTGCTTGGTCGCATGAAGATATGACAAGTATTAGCCTCGACGTAATCACTCACAAGATAAGCGTTGACCCAAACCATCGACCAATCAAGCAAAAGCGACGAAAGTTCGCACCTGAAAGAAATCAAGTGATCAACGACGGAGTACAAAAGCTGATCGAAACAGGAAAAATCAGAGAAGTCAAGTACCCTGACTGGCTAGCAAACGTCGTGGTGGTCAGCAAAAAGAATGGAAAGTAGAGAGTGTGCATAGACTTCATCGACTTGAACAAAGCATGCCCAAAAGATCCATTCCCCCTGCCTCATATTGACACAATGGTCGACGCAACTGCTGGGCACGAACTACTCACCTTCATGGACGCATATTCAGGGTACAACCAAATATTGATGCACCCGGAAGATCAAGAGAAGACATCCTTCATGACGAACAAAGGAATATACTGCTATAAAGTCATGCCTTTTGGCTTGAAGAACGTAAGAGCGACGTACCAAAGGCTCGTCAATGAAATGTTCAAATATCAACTAGGAGATACGATGGAGGTGTACATCGATGACATGCTAGTCAAATCAAAGAAAGTCAATGATCGCATCAGACACCTCAAACAATCCTTCGACGTCCTAAGACAGTATGGTATGAAAATAAATCCTACTAAATGTTCTTTTAGTGTCTCTGTAGGAAAATTTCTAGGTGTACATCGTGACCCAGCGAGGTATTGAAGCAAGTCCTGACCAAATCAAAGCCATAATCAACATTCAATCCCTAAGGGACGTTAAGGAAACACAAAAGCTGACAAGACGCGTCGCAGCACTAAACAGGTTCATATCCAAGTTGTCCGACAAATGTCACCTATTTCATGACGACTTGAGAAAAAACAAAGGGTTTGAATGGACGGAGAAACATGAGAAAGCTTTACCTTGAAGCAGTACATAGCATCACCGCCACTCCTTTCCAAGCCAAAAGAACATAAAATGTTGCATTTGAACCTAGTCGTAAGCACAACATCAGTCAGTGCAGTCCTCGCAAGGGAGGACGACAACCAGCAGTTACTCGTCTTCTACGTCAGTAAGTCTTTGCTTAACGCAGAGACCAGGTATTCATCCCTTGAAAAATTAGTACTTGCTTTGGTTACAGTAGTTAAAAGTTACGTCATTATTTTGAAACCCACCCAGTGGTGGTGCGAGCTAACTTTCCTAACAAGTCTGTCTTGCGTAAACCAAAATTAATAGGTAGAATGGGCAAATGGAGTGTCGCCCTAAGCGGGTACGACATCAAGTACTTACCTAGGACGACAATAAAATTGCAGGCACTAGCAGACTTTATGGAAGATTTCAACCCGGAGTTGGAGCCATTAGCCACCCAAGAACTGAAGGAAATAAAACAGTGCATGCCAAGAAGTAGTTTGGACGATGTTCTGCGATGGCTCGTCGAACCAGAGGGGCGTCGGGTTAAGCGTCGTGCTAAAATCGCCACAAAGGGATATGATCGTACAATCCATTTACTGCGACTTCAAGGCAACCAACAACGAAGCAGAGTACAAAGCATTAATTGCAGGCATGACCGTCGCGTCAGACCTAAAAGCAACTGGTGTGAACGTCTATAGCGACTCTCTACTCATCGTTAGTCAATTGAATGGAGAATTTGCAGCTAAAGGCTTAAAAATGACGGGCTACTTGGAGATTGCCAAGAGGAAAGCAAAGTAATTAAACCCATTCACAATCATGCAAGTCTCAAGAGACAAGAACACTCAAGCTCACGCCCTAGACTCAACACTCAGAAAGTTTCCCTTCGGCATCATCCCTCTGGTCAACCTATAGAAGCCATCGGTCGACACATCCCAGATTTCTGATGTCATGACGATAGACGCAACCCCCAATTGGATGACGCCAATAATTAGATACTTGAAAGACGATGTCTTGCCACACAATCATCTTGAAGCAAGAAAACTCAGGTATAAAGCATCTAGATACACCATATTACATGATGTACTACGACAAGCGACAAGAATTCTTACAGGAACACCACAATGTAGAATGCGGGAACCATTCTAGAGGTCGCAGCTAGGCAAACAAGCTTCTACGAATCGGCTACTCTTGGCCAACCATAAAGAAAGACGCGGAAGCTTATGTTACGAAGTGTGACCGTTGCTAGCGTTATGGAGGACTGACGCACAAGCCACCTGAGATGCTGCACCCTACGTAGTGCCCATGGCCCTTCATGAAATGGGGGATGGACATAGTAGGAAAGCTACCAGCAGCTCCTGGACAAAAAGTCTTCATGCTCGCACTAACGGACTACTTTTCAAAGTGGATCGAGGCTGACTTGTTTACTCAGGTACGTGACAAAGAATTCATTTCATTCTTATGGAATAACATAATATGCAGGTAGATTGTCTGTGATGACATATCACAGTTCATAAGTGACAAAACAAGACGATTATGTGAGAAATGGAATATCAAACTTTGCATGTCCACACCAAGATACCTCCAAGCCAATGGTCAGGCCGAGTCGAGCAATAAGACGATCATCAAGTTCTTCAAGAAGCGACTTAAGTCTCCCGTCTATCCTCTGGGCAAACATGCGACCCCTAGAACATCAACTGGACAAACCCCATTCTCTCTTGTTTACTGGTGTGAAGCAGTCTTCCCATCTGAAGTACGCATCCCAACAACAAGATACGGTCTCATGACGACAGTTCAAAACAATATAGAACTGTCGGCCGACCTTGATACTTCAGAAAAGTCAAGGGAAGCAGCATACGTCAAAATGGTAGCACAATAACAAATTGTCGCATGAAGAACGACAAAGCCAAAGTATTCAAAGTAGGAGATTGGGTGTTAAGGAAAGTCTTCCAAAACACCAAAGACCTAACAGACGGCAAACTTGGCCTGGCGCGGGTAGGACCATACCAGATCCTCGACGTCACAAACTCGCAGGTAAAGGGCATACAGGCTTATGTCCAAAGAAGGTAAGATCGTTCCTTGAAGCTAGAACGCGACGCATCTTAAACTTTACCACTTCCAGGTAAAGAACCAAGGTACAAACGCTCGATCTTAAGTCTTAAGTTCTTTTTGTTAATTCAATTTTACATTTTGAACAACGAGCACTAACTTAGGCATCGAAGAATCGTTGGCAAAAACGTCTACGACCAAGTCTTAACGCCTGTTTTGTAGAAAACATAAGGGCTTCAAACGCCAGAATTGGACGAGACACGACAGAACGTTAGTCACGACCCAAGACAAGTCAGATTAGGACGAGACACGACGGAACGTTAGTCACGACCCAAGAAAAGTCACTGCCATGGAAAAAAAAAATTCTTATTATCGACGTCAACTTTTGGCCAACTGACGTGCGACATCAGATATTGGGGGCAACACCCATGTATTACATAAGTACTAAAGTCTTCAAGTTTTGCCTAAGCATCAAAGTTACTAAGTGTAGCAATTAATAACAGGGCAAAATTCGCACTTAGAAAATTTTTGTGAAAGTTTCAAAAGTTGTACTCTTTTTCATAAAGGTTGTACGCATGATATTCAAAGCAATAAAACACAAAACATTCTTATATATACATGCATAGCATAAGTGTTTTGCAGGAACAACTAGTTTAACAAAAAATTGATTGTCCCATGACAACAAGCAATAGACAACTAGCAATAGCTATGAAAACAGGAAATCATTCTAAGTACTTAAAGTACGAAATAAACCTGGTCGTCCCACGACGACTAGTAAAGAGTGCATAAAAACAGGAATTGTTCAAAGCAAATTAAGAAAAACAAAGTTCTGTCAACGCATCAAAAGATAAAGACAGAAGAAGTCAGGCGTCCTCCACAGGAACTCCATCCCCAACAACAGCTTCAGCATCCTTGACACCAGAAGCTCCACCAGTGACCACCTCCGTCGACTCAGCAGTGGAACGACCATCATCTCCAGTATCCTCAACCTCAAAAGCTAGATCCGCCTCTGTACCAACAGAGGAAAAGTAGATGTCCAGCTCCGCTTTGGTGTCCTCCTTTGTCAAACGATCAGCTAGGAAACGCTTCAGAAGCTTGGCACGAGCAGTTAACTGATCCAAGCACTTAGGGTTCGTGGCATCTTCGCGCACCTCCTCGACAGTAGCCTCCAGCTCAGTGACCTATTTGCTCCTCTCCTCAAGGTCCTTCTTCAGCTTGGCCACCTCACCTTCTGCGGTACGAAGCTGGCCCCTAACAGTGGTAATGGTCGTGCAAAGACCATTCGTATCGCCAAAAGATCCTGAAGAGCTTAAAAGAAGCGCGACCAGAAGCAGTCAGACAAGCCACTCAAAAGTTGAAGAACAAGAAACACATTTTGGCAAGACTTACATTAAGCTGAAGTGACACAGCTTCACTGACGATCGTCCCGAGGAGTCATTTTGCCCAATCGCAACAGCAGGAAAAAGAAGCCTTTCAACAGTAGGCCACAAAGAAGAAGACATGGTGTCGCCCGACAGAAAGTCAGCCGGTACTTTCAAAGCGTAATCATGCTCCTTGGGTGCCTTAGGAGGTATTTCCTTAGATCGAGGTAAAGTTCGAATCTGAAGCGGTTTGGTGTCAAGAACTCTGACATCCTTATCACTAGAAAGGGTTTGCTTCCTTTTCTTGGACACTTCAGATTGACTACCTGAGGAACGACAAAAGGACCAAGACGAGCGTCGGAAATCAAGAGGCAGTCAAAGAAAACTGCAAAAGAAAAGGACCTCTCACCTAATGCCATGTCGTTATCACTATCTTCTTGTTCTTCTTCCTCTTCCGCATCAACACCAGAATTGTCAGCAACGATAGGATGAACGAAGTTTTGATCTTTCTTCAAAATGCTCAAAACAACCTCTACTCTGCGTAAACTCTTCCTCCCAGGAGTCGCAACGCCAACGTCCACCTCTGCATCAAAACAAAGCATAAGAACACACGTCAAATAAGTAGAAACAAAAAGCGACGAGATATGAAAATACCTCTGTTGCGCCAGCCATAGCGAAGCCAATTTGCATCTTCACCCAAAGATTCCTTATCTACAAACACGTATCGGGATTTCCAACCCCGATCGTTCACTTTACCAGCCCGTTCAACCAAAGGAGGATGACTCCTCTTCAAAGTAGCAGTGCATCGGTTATTTTTGGTAACTTGAAGCTTATAAGCATGAACCAGATCCGACAAGTCAAAAGGCTCAGCCCAATCCTTCGTAACCCACTCAATCACATGAAATACCCTCCAGAATTGTGGGGCATCAACTGACCAGGGCTAAGATCTAAAACCTCCATCAAAGAACATGACAAGTGACCAAATTGATAAGTAAAGCCAAGTCTCAAGGGGTATTCGTACATTACTACATGCCCTGAGGACAGTTCTCAGGTCTTTTCGCCTCTCGAGGCACCAAGACCACAGCACTCCTTGGCATCCCCGCTAGAGCGATGAAGGATTCTGCCTCCTCTTCAGTCACATCACTTGAGGGCTCATCAATTTCAACAATCTCCGCTAAAATTTTACTTTCCCCCTCTTTCCAAGACCCTAAACGAAAACCTAGTTCTTTGAAATTTCGCTCTACTGGGCATAATTAAACCAAAAATTGGCAACGAAGTAAAAGGAAAAGAAGAGAAATTACCTTGCGAAGTTGATCGGAAGCGCAAGTTCAAGCTCTACTAGAGTCGCACAGTTCGCAAGCCAAACCCTTGGAGAGAGAATTTGGGGAACTAAGGTGTTTGAAAAGTTTTGAAATTTTTTTGAAAAAGATTGGAAAAAGGCACGAGCATTTATGCAGGGGTGAAAGCGGTTTAAATTACAAAGTAGTGGGGTAGTTGAGTTCGCCCACGTTCAAGACAATAAATGGGGGCAAATTGTTATGGTCAAATTTCTGCTACGACACGACATTCGACGCAAAGCGCGATTAAGAACAGCGATTGACTACCTTCAACTGATCTAGCGAAATTCAAGGGCTCTATGGAGATGGGTAGATTATTTGTTCCTATCTTGGAGGAAGATATTTTGTTGATATGGTTTGAATCAACGATCAGATAGGTTCAAGGCAAAAAGATAAACACAAGCAACCACTTCCCTATTTTTTAGGAAGGTGGACGCAAGCTCTCAAACGGCATTCCAGCTAAGGTTTAGCCCTTACAATTAGTATTATAAATAGTAGAATACGTGTATTCATTAAAAACACAGTTCATACGCATTCTACTCTCAATTCTAAGCTCTCATACTCATTGTACTCAAAGTTATTCATAGTGAATCGGTAGTCTTACACCCACCTGCAGTTTTTCCTACGTTCGGGTTTTCTGTGTCATCAAAATACCTTATCCTTCACTTGTTTTAACCTCAAGTTCATTCATTTTCTATTGTTCACTCTCTAGCCGTCGACCGTCCCAGCCATAGGTCGCCCTTAGGCGAAATTTGGCATAAACAACACCCATATGGAGGTTGTTTGGGGTAAAAATACCCCAGCCACGTGGCCCTATGGCTAAGCGACACGTGGCACCCATCCATTGGTCAGCAGGACTCCAATCCCCTGCTGACACGTGTCCCATGAACCCTAAATGAGGAACCAAGGCTTCCCACTATAAATAGTGGGAGGATCCTCATTAATTGGCATTCATTCAATTCTATTGAATTCGATACAAGACATTCAATACTCTCTTACACAAAAACTGAGCAATATTAATTGCGGAATTCTCCCATTACGTGAGAAGTAATTTCACTATTTTACGCACTATTTTCCTCCTGTACGTAACTGACTTGATCGTCGGAGGCGGAGCTCCAACCAACCAGAGTCTTCGTGGTTTTGCAGGTATAGGAGGCGAAGGGCATTCTCGGAACTGTAACTCTCCCGCAGGACACATCAGAAAACCCTGAAACATTTGGCGCCGTCTGTGGGGAGAGTACTTCTGATATGACTTCTAATCCTGTACCACCGGATCAGGACAAGCGGCTGTCTGCCGAGCCTGAGGTCCAGACGAACCATGAAAGTGGTGATCACTATGAAGTCAACCCCTATGTGGCCCCAGACGGGTCCTTCAGAACAAAGCACACCCGTTCCAAGGATAAGAAGGAACGGGATAACATCTAAACTGCTCCAGGCAACCCAGCCGGTAAGCCGGTTGGAACTGCTCAGGCGGCAGAAGGCTCTGCTCCCGTCACTAGGAACGAACTCATGACCTTCATGAATAGTTTCAAAGGCGAGATCCAGAACCTTATTCGGTCAGCTACTCCCAAGAAGAGTCAGCCGGCCAAGAAGCCTTCTTCTGGGAAGAAGACGATAAAAGACCGGGTCCCTAACCCTCACCCACAGCCGAAGGAGGGGGAGGGCCTCAGGTTTGATCAAAACCGGCTCCGCTTCCCACAAGCGGAACTCAGAAAACCAATCCGGCACTTACAACCGGATGGCACCAAGAAGACTTTCTCTGATGCCCGGACCTTCCTCCAGGAAAAGAGAAGTCTGACGTCTGCGTCGGTTTCAACGTCGACCTTCCCGGACAGTTTCCGTGACACCTCTAACAGGCGCACGGGAACAAGCCTAGGGAGTCAGACGGGCGAACCATCCGCCCGGTCTGGACCCCAAGTGATCCAACCTGGTCTATTTGGTTCGCCAAATGGGCTGGGTGGATCCCCTTTTACCCAAGCGGGTCCCTTTGGCGGGCATGTGCAGCAGCCGTACCAGCTCACGGACTGGCAGCAACGCCTGCTAAATTTGGGAGAACAGCCCACAGCGTTCTCCCCTGAGATAACCCAGGCGGCACAGCCGGCTAAGGTTAAAAACGTGTTGGTAGGGGCCTATGATGGTGCCTCCAACCCAAAAGACCACCTAATGGCCTACTCTAACCTCATGTACCTACAGGGGTTGGATGATGTCGTCTGGTGCCGATGCTTCCCGGCTACCCTGAAGGGCATTGCCCAACGGTGGTTTGGTAATCTACCAGCCGGCTGCATCAACAGCTTCAAGACTTTGGCGTACTTATTTACGTCAAATTTTTCAATGAATATCCCTGCCAAAAAGACTAGCCTCGATCTAGGGGCAATACAGCAGGGTGACAGAGAAGGGCTCCGGTCGTATGTCAGACGGTTCAATCTGATGAGAATTCAGATCCAAGGACTATCTGACGAAGTTGCTTACACAGACTTCTTCAAAGGTCTGAAGGATGGGTCAACCTTTAAGTTCGACCTCGTCCGGAAAAGGGTAGCCACCCTCCAAGAGGCGTTAATGGAAGCTGAAGCCTATATACAGGCGACGGAGCTTTGTGCTGTAAAGCAGCCGTTGGATTACAGAAAATCCGACAGAAGAGACATTCGGCAACAGCAACAGCCGGCTAAAAAGGAAGAAAAGAAGAGAAAAGAGGTTTGGGCGGCAGACCGACCTGGTCAGCCGGCTCAGAAGCTTAGACGGAAATCAGAACCGTACGTTCCCAAGTACGAGTTCACAAAGGACTGCTCCTCCATCCTCATGGAGATCAAGGACCGGATGTCTCTCGACAAACCGGCTTTGATGAAAAGTCCCGTAAGCAACCGGGACAAAAGCAAATACTACCAGTACCATGAGGACGTTGGCAACGACACTAATGGTTGCTATAGCCTCAGGCGGCTATTAGACCGTCTGGCTGACGAAAGGGCTCTGAAGTCCTATCTGCCCAAAGCCAAGAGTAACACCTTGGCCAAGAAGGGGCAGACGGCAAAAGCTGTGCTCACAAACTCTGAGACGGATGAAGAGACGATCTTCACCATAGCAGGCGGCTTTGCCGGAGGGGGTCCCACTATTAGGGGCACCAAAGATAACATCAGGAAGCTGGTCAACTCAGTTGATGAGAGCCAGGCGTCGAAAGACACCTTTCCTGAGGTCCTTGTTTCTAAAAAGGACCGAGGCAAGGTCAGGCGGCCTCATGACGACCCCATAGTCATTGAGTGTAAGGTTGCCAATCAGAGAGTTGGCCGGATCTTAATAGATACCGGGAGCTCGTCTGACCTGATTAGTTATCAGTGCTTGACCAAGCTCAAGTACAAGTCCAGTAACATGCACCAGGCGCCTCACCCCCTAGTTGGTTTTGGGGGAGGAGTAGTGCATCCGGTAGGAAGCATATATCTTCCCGTCCGGCTGGGTGAGAAGGGGGAAGGACGCCACATGGTGGTAAAATTTTTAGTTGTTGAAGAGCTTGCCGCCTACAACATGATTTTTGGCCGTCCGACCCTCAACGAATCCAAGGCTGTCATCGTCCCCTTGCTCATGCTCGTTAAATTTGAGAAGGATGACGGTACAGTCGGTTCCCTGAAAGGGGACCAGAGGACGGCTAGGGAGTGTTATCTCTCTGACGTCAAACCAACTATGGGGTAGCCGGAGACGACAAGCCCATAGACCTTGATAACTGCGATACAGCAGTCCCGGCTCCAAGGGCAGCCGGTAAGAAAAGAAAGGCGGACCAAACGGAACCCGTCAAGCAAGAAAAATAGCAATCACTAGCCGGAGAAAGGTCAGATGACCAACGAACTCAATCGGCTGGTGACTGCCTTGATGTCGTCCTAGACGACAGCAGTCCTGACAGAGCCGTCAAAGTTGGGACGGTTGCTTTTGAACGGTTGGGGGCAGACCTGCTCCAACTTCTGAAAGAATTCAAAGACATCTTTTCCTTTGAAGTGGAAGAGATGTCAGGCGTCAGCCCGGATCTAGCTGTCCACAAGCTCGCCGTGGACCCTAAAAAGAAGCCGGTCAGGAAGAAAAAGAGGGATCACGGTGAAGAGAGATCTCAGGCGGCAGCGGCTGAGGTCAAAAAACTGTTAGATGCTGGGTTCATCCGACAATGCTACTACCCGGATTGGGTAGCAAACGTTGTCCTCGTGAAAATGCCGAATGGTACCTGGCAGATGTGTGTAGACTACACAGATCTGAACAGAGCATGTCCCAAGGACAGTTACCCGCTTCCAAAGATCGACAGTCTGGTCGACTCCACAGCCGGTCATGCTCTGATGAGTTTCATGGATGCCTATTCAGGTTTTCATCAAATAACCCTATGGAAAAAAGATCAAGAAAAGACGGCCTTCGTCACTGATCAGGGGTTATTTTGTTATAAGGTGATGTCGTTTGGGTTAAAGAATGCACCGGCTACATTCCAGCGCATGATAAACACAGTTTTCATGAACCAGATTAGCAAGAATGTAGAGGCGTACATTGATGACATGATAGTCAAATCCAAGCTACAGACGGATCACCTACTGGATCACCGAGAAACATTCACCACACTCAGGCGGCACCAGGTCATGCTTAACCCAAAGAAATGTGTATTTGGTGTTGAGTCTGGGAAGTTCCTCGGATTTTTGATCGACCAAAGGGGCATAGAGGCTAATCCAGAAAAAGTACAGGCGGTCATTGACATGCGGTCTCCCCGCACTGTAAAAGAAGTCCAGAAGCTGACTGGTTGCCTGGCGGCGTTGGGAAGATTTCTCAGCCGGTCAGGCGACAAGTGTCTCTATTTCTTCCAGGCCACCCGGAAGAGGTCCAGATTTGAGTGGGGTGAAGAGGCGGAAGTGGCATTCCAGAAGCTAAAGCAACACTTGCATTCCTTGCCAAGGCTAGTGAGCCCTCTGCCCCGGGAGGTTTTCTATATGTATCTAGCCGTCTTTGATCATGCCCTTAGTGCCGTTCTCCTTGCTGAGAGAGACGGTAACCAGCTCACGGTGTATTTCATCAGCCACGTACTTAAAAATGCCGAGCTCCGGTACCCTATGATCGAAAAATTTGGGTTGGCCTTGTTCGTAGCAGTCAAGCGGTTAAGCCCTACTTTTTGGCTCACCCGGTGATTGTATATACAGACCAGCCGCTCAAACGCCTAATGACCACCATCAAGTCGTCCAGCAGAATGATCAAATGGGCTGTTGAAATACAAAGGCTTGAAATAACTTTTGAACCCAGGCGGACAGTGAAGGGTCAGGCGTTTGCCGACTTCATTGTCGAGATGACTTGACCGGTGCCACCGGAAAATCCTGATCAGGTTTGGAAGTTATTTGTAGACGGTAGTTCTACAGCGAACGGCTGTGGTGCAGGTGTTATATGCCATTCTCCGGAAGGGGACAAGTTTGAATATGCACTACGGTTCCAGTTCCAAGCCTCAAATAATGAGGTAGAGTATGAAGCCCTGCTAGCCGGTATACGCATGTGTAAGGCAGCAGGGGCAAGAAAAGTTACCGCCTTCTCAGACTCTCAGTTGATCGTTAGCCATTACAATGGTGACAATGAGGCCACCCATC